ATACAATCACCAATTAAATATAAGCACAAAAACGTCACAATGCCTTGAAGACAACAGAGCATCACAGTCCACACAAAGCAGCAAGATAAAGCAGGAGAAACAAGGGATCAGGATACAGACCCAAAACACATCCCTGAGGAAGACACAGCATTGGAACTCCCTGATAAGGAATTCAAAAGAATTATAGTTAGGTATCTTCAACGAATTGAGAGACAGAACAAGGAAAACACAGAAAAACCCTGGAACAATTTTGAAAGACAATACAAAAACAAAATGACAAAATAAATGAAAAATCAGAAATGATACAAAATCTACACATAGAAACCCATAAGATTAACACTATAATTTCAGAACTAGATAAGACATTGAATGGGCAAAGGAACAGAAATGAATTAATGGAAGACAGAATTACGGAGATTGAAGGCAAATATCTGAACACTTCTTTGGAAAGGGATCAATCAGAAAAAAGAGCAAAGCAAAATGAAAAAAACTCTAATGTTCATGTGGGATACCATCAAAAGGAATAACCTATATGTAATCAGAATTCCAGAACAAGAGATAGACAAAACCACAGAGAAAACTGTCGAAGATTTGTTGGAAGAGAATTTTCCTGGTATGATGAAAGATGAAAATATATCCATTCAGTAAGTCCAGCAAACCCCAAACAGGACAGACCACAAAAGAAAATCACCCAGACATGTCATCATCAAACTCACCAAACCAAAGACAAAGAAAGAATCATGAGGGCAGCATGGGGGAAAAAAAAAAAAAAAGTTACCTACAAGGGGCAACCGATAAGGCTAAAAGCTTGGATTTCTCGGCAGAAATGATGCAGGCAAGAAGACAATGGGATGGTATATATATAAAACACTGAAAGAGAAAAAATTTCTAACCAAGAATTAGGTACCTAGCAAAATTATTCCTCAAATATGATGGTGAAATTAGGGTATTTTCCGATAAGCAGAAATTAAGGGAATTGGTTAAAATCAGACCAACCTTACAAGAGATTCTAAAGGGAGCCCTTTGGACAGAGAAGCAACAACAGCCAACAATAACTGGCCATTAACACACATGATGATATAACCCAGAAACCAACCCAGCTATGGAAATATCCAAAGTAAATAAACCTACAAGATTGTGAACGGAACCAGAGACATCAACCGACAATTGAGGACAAGTACAAACCAAAAAGAGGAAAAAAAACTGTGTCAGTACAGAACTTCTAGATGGTAGGGAAGTCAAGACAACTATAAGATAGAACAGACTGTTCTAAACTTGGGAAGAAAACTATAAATCACAGGGTAACCTCAAAAAAAAATGATAAACCTTCACATCAAAAAAGAGGACCAGCATAAATATTCAGCAAATACTAAAACAACAGCAATAAAGGGAGTGATAACATGATTCATAAACAAAATGAGCTCAGCACAGAAAATTATAAGGACCAAAGAAATTGACACCACAAAAAAGGACATTAACAAACATGACAGCAACACATTCATATTTGCCGATAATTACATATCTGACAAAGGACTTATCTCTAAGATTTATCACGGAAAAGTGGATGACCAAACTATGGTACATACACATAATGGAATGCTATGTAGCACTAAAGAATAATGTACAGTCTGAAAAACACTGCACAATATGGATGAACTTGGAGGACATTATGTTGAGTGAAATAAGTCAATTACAGAAGAAGGGTCAAGGATAGGTTTATATATGGAGGGAAACTTTCTTTGTTGGTTGCCAGGGGTGGGAGTGGGAGGCGAGGGGAAGGAACACTGCACACACACACACAAAAAAAGCAAGTATTTACTGTATATAAATTATATTTCAATAAAATGCATTAAGAAAAAAGAAACTACTATTACTGAGCTTGATATAGTTCCAAGAAGAGTATCCAATTACCTGAATTAAAATACTCCTGCCTTTTCTACTTACCTACCTGTGTGAGACTGTTACTTTCATCACACACAATCTATCACAACACATTAAATTCAGAAGCAACTTGGAGAAGCTGTTTCTATTAAGTTGGACATTAAAGACATTTGCAAAAATATAACCAATATCACTCTTCTCACCATTTTCTCTGTGGAAAAATAGTTATTGCTCATAAAAATGTCAATGACGTTAATTTATAATTGGTTTATTATTGTTTTAAATTGGTTAGTATTTTTAAATTTGTTTTTATCTTTTTATTTTGAAATAACTAGATTAACAGGAAGTTGCAAAATTAGTATAGTTTTTGTGTACCCTTCCCCAAAAATAATATCCTACATAACTACGGTGCAGTATCCAAAGCAAGAAGCTGACACTGGTAGAATCCAAAGACCTATCTCAGATTTCACCACTTTTTACACACAGTCATTTATCTGTGTGTGTGTGCTTACGTTCCACACAGTCTTCTCAAATGTGTAGATTTGTGTAAACACCACCAAAATAAAAATACACAACTGTTTCATTAGCACAAGGGAATGTTCACTTTTGCTACCCCTACACTGTCACATAAGCCCACATCCCTAATGCCAGGGAACCACCAATCTGTTTTCTAATTCTATAATTTTGTCACATTCTAAGAATGTTCTAGTATAGAATCATAGTATGTAAGCCTTGAAACAGTCTTTTTAAAATTTAACTTCAAATAAAATCTCTTTGGAATCTTCAATAGTTTTTAAGCATATAAAATGGTTCTGAGACTGAAATGTTTGAGACTCGCTGCTTTTGAGTGATGGACATTACTCTTTTCTCAGATGCCCCAGTTCTTGTTAGGTGTCGTGTAATCCCGTGTCCCAGACACCTGCGGCCTGGCCTCCCTCACTCTGCTTACCTCATGGGCAGAGATGTCTGCCTCCAGCAGCTGATGTTTCTTTAGCAGGTTGTTCACAGAAGCCAGGTCTTTGCCGTAATCTTCAGATGCTAGAAGGGCTTCCACCTGAGAGTGGAAACACAAAAGGGAAAAATGCAGACTTAATATCCTGGCAAATCCAGAACATCCCAGTTTTCTTCCAAGTCCTTGCTTGGGCATTTCTCAATCACAAGCTTGTTATGCCTACTCAGCTTGTACCAGCCTGCGGGGTCAAAGACACCTTCTCCACAGGTCACCTGAACGTGGACTTGGGAGCCTATTAATTTAACTACTACAGCTAAAGGGAGAGATCACCAAGCCTTCACTGTGGTACAATGACAAATGCACACCAATCCAATTCCAAGGGGAGCCCCCTAGGAAAAGAATCAGTGGTAATGGACAAAGTTTAATACACAAATATGTCACTGCAGCAGAATCAGGATCACCAAAAAGCTGAGAATACCTGAGCATCCAATAGATATGGCATAACTCTACGATGGACTGTTACGCAGTAATTCAAATGTTTAGGAAGAGTGTCTAGTGACTTGGGATGTTGTTGTTGTTGCTGTTTTGCCGTCGAGTCGGCCCCGACTCATAGC